ATCGAATCGAATCGTGAAATTTGTGTCAAAACCCAGCCCTACTTGCAAGTGTTCACAGCAAAGGAATTTTCAGACGAGCACCTGACATTTTCAGCTGGCTACAAACGCTTTGGTGGACACACCACATAAGGAGCCAGCTTTCACCCGATCATGTTGATGTACATGTGTTTTTTTTTCCAACATGAACATGTGAAACAATGCAAACACAATAACCATATGCCAACTCGAGTGTATAAGTACATGCTTTATAGCCATTTTTTTCATTTACTTTGCACTGTGCGCTGAATGCTTTTTTTTCTGTACATTTTTTTTGTTTGCACATAGACTTGTGCCTGTATTCTGTAATGCGATATATCACGGTAATGAATATGCACGATATTGTTATCGTGGGCACTTCTAAATACCGTGAATAATTATATATTACAAATTATTCAGAATTTTGAATGCATTTTAAGAATACTTTTCCCATAAACTGGTCAAAATGCACATGCTGTGTGAAAGACGCGTGCGCACTCTGATGTAAACAAGTGCGCGGACGAGAAGCACATGGCGGAACGTGAGAGACGCTCTGGATGAAAGCGCACTTTCACTCTCTGACAGCAGATGGCGCTAAACTGCAGAAATAATAATAATAATAATAATAATAATAATAATAATAATAATAATAATAATAATAATAATAATAATAATAATAATAATAATAATAATAATAATAATAATAATAATAATAATAATAATAATAATAATAATAATTCATTTAAATGCAGCCGTTACCCCGGAAACCCTGTAAACAAAGCCGCTGCACTACTTTCTGTTTCTGAAAGGTGTTTAAATGATTTAAACAGCCATTCAGATTTGTGTATTTGCTATGATGTTCATCACAGCGCCAAATACTTAAATATTTAGACTTAATAGGCTATTTATTTTCAAACTTTTTTTACATTTTAATCTGGACTACAACATGCCCTAGATATTGTTTGAAAGTGTTTTGATTCTTTATTGTTCGGTCACACTTTACATTAGGGCTTCATTAGTTAACATTAGTTAATTCATTAGTTAAACTGCCAATGAAAAATTCTTCTGAACATTCATTAATCTTAGGTATTCCGATATTTAATAACAGGATGTTAAAATCGAGAGTTGCAGCTGTGTTATTTAATGAGCTAACATGAACTACGACTTGTATTTTTTAAACAATGATTAATAACTTCTGTAGCAAATGTTGCTATTGCTCATTGTGAATGTTAATGCATTAACTAAAGGTTAACTAATGAGGTCTTATTGTAAAGTGATACCTATTGGTCTTTATAGTTCTTTTGCACTTTAATCTGTGTAAAACTTTTAACTTTTACATTTTTCTGTATTGCTTTATTGCATTTAAATGTTCAGTTATTTTTGTTATAAGAAAAAAGTTAAATAAACCTGTTATACTGTATTATGACAGCACTTTTTTAAAACTAAATTTCAATACCTTGATAATACCGTATACCGTGATAAAAGCATTAGCAATTAATCGCAACATGAAAATTTGATACCGGCATATCCCTAAATGACAGAATGTTCATTTTTGGATGAACTATTCCTGTGAAATATATTTCAGACAATAACTTAATCCTTGAAAAGTTGAATCCTGAAACGTAAAAAAAAATGGTAAATAGACTCATATGTGACTGTTGATGAAATTTCAACTAGAGCCCGACCGATATGGTTTTTTTGGGGCCGATACCGATATTAGGGAGTAAATAAGCTTTAAAGTGTTTCATCCAGGTCGCCAGTAGCAAACAATGGAGCGCACGCGCTCTGCTGGACAAACTAAGTAATTACACCATTTCAAGCATTTTATCTGCATTATATGTTCTGTAAAAAAAAAAAATCATATCCACGGCATATTCGCCGATACCGATATATCGGCGACAGGCTCATATCGGCCGATAATATCGGCAAAACGATATATCGGTCGGGCTCTAATTTCAACCCCATGTAAAGGTTCATGCTTTGCAAATCGGCATTCAGTAAAAATTGCACCCATCTGACATCCCAAAACTCAAAATACCAAAGAAAGGGGAGCAAATGAGCCATGACATGAGACTTGCATTATTCAGGAAGCCAAGCAGACGCCGTTATACAACACAACAGGAGTACGCTACAAGCGCAGGGAGCTCGGGGCTTCCTTACACCATGTCAGCAAACTCATTTATTCTACCAGACCGTCCAACTGAATCAAAACCATAACATGTTTTATAAAACAGTCCATTGCACATGAACACGACCTAGTGCAATCCAACCTCAATATTTTTTTTACAAATGTGTAAAATGCATAAAAATACACCAGAACATGCATTTATTGCTATTTTCCAACACAGCAGGACTCAAATAATACTGCTTCCATTTTAAATTTTACAGCCTGTAACTGCCACGAAAATAACAAGCTAGACAGGAACATTAACTCAAGGTCAGTCCTCCTTTTTTAAGGCATCCTGCCATGTTTCTTTTAGATAAAGATGTTGAGATGATGCCGAAGTTATTAAGACACTTGACCTGAGTGTTTTTGCAATGTTTTGTCCTCAATATATTTAAAATATCCCTCATGCACCTTTCAAACCAACTCTTATTTCAGTTTCTGCTGCTATATTTTTCATAACATTGGGTGAAATTGACAAAAACACAAAGACAGTTCAGCCCAACATTCAAGAATTTAAAAATTCAGTATTAAGATTTATTTTAAAAATTAAGATGAACAGATTAAGATGAAAATGTAAAGTTCTGCTTCCAAATGTATCCACACAAGTAGGGATATGCCGGTATCAAATTTTCATGTTGCGATTAATTGCTAATGCTTTTATCACGGTATACGGTATTATCAAGGTATTGAAATTTAATTTAAAAAAGTGCTGTCATAATACAGTATAACCTTAAAATGCATTCAAAATTCTGAATAATTTGTACTATATAATTATTCACGGTATTTAGTAGTGCCCACGATAACAATATTGTGCATATTCATTACCGTGATATATCGCATTACCGAATACCGGCACAAGTCTACACACAAGTATATTATTGTAATTATTTTCAATGGTGGTTCTCTTTAGGTTCTTACGCTAAATTACAGTATTTCTGCTGAATTACATTGCTTTAATTCAATGCAACATCAATTAAAGGCAACACAAATACCATCATAATGCACAAATACGCTATATGTTCTGTTTTCTCACATTAAAATCTAGGGTAAAACTGCAATCATTTTCTTTAAGCAAAACATTTCTTATTTTCTGAGGTGAAACTAGACCCAGACATGTTCTTGACAGGTCTGGCCTACACTTTTCCCTGGCTAATAAATTGTGGCTGAAGTTAACTATATTTTACATAAACCCACACTCATGATAATGGATCTCCAATGCTGAGCAAAATCGTGGCTATAACTGAACTCGATGGTGTTGCGTTAAAGACCTGCGCATGGATGATGAAGCAATTCTGTATATGCAATAAATGCATTTTCCAGCATATGAGAATCTAATATATTTTGTAGAGGCAAAAGTACTGAGCTGTATCAAATGTTGGCCAGTGGCTGCTATAATGACAGCGTCTGACAATGCTGAATGCAATTAAAGCCAGAGAATTTACAGCTCAATGATGCAGAAAAATGCTGTTATTGAACAGTATCCATAACGTGGTGGGACTGACCAATTGAAACCAGGGAAAGGATACAAAAGGAAAATGATAGTTTTAGAGCCATAACGAAACAAGATATACAAATAAAAGTATGCATGCATTACACATTCACATATATAGGATTATGTTTCGCTTAATTTGGAGTGGTTGGTCCACAAAAATAGTACTATCAAGCCCACTGCAGTGGCTGTTTCTCTGCCTAATTGATCAATTAATCCTCCAGAGGTGCCCTACAAAACTCTTCAGCAGACTGTCATGAAATACAAATGAACCGCCGGCCCCTTCCAAACAAACCCCCAGAAAGATTCAGGTCGTTGTTCCTCATGGAAATTCAGCAGACTTTCTCAATGCAACCTGATCACTGAGCATCAGATGAGACTAATGAATTCAAGACCTTACATTTCACATTTGCCAGATCCTTCAACAATGCAGTGAGATCAGTTGGCCAGATTGGGTTTCAGTGCTGCCATTAACAGGCAAGTTGTCTAGTTTTGGTGAAAACGACCAAATTTACACACATGAATAACAGCCTGTATGTGTACAAAATCCTCCTTTTTGAAGAAAAAAGGCATTAGAGAGAGATAACGTTACCAGCTAACATGGAGGACTAAAGAAAGCATTACATTGCATACAGATCGTATTTAGCCATTTAACGATCAACACAAGACAGAAAAGAGCAATAAGTGCGCGTTTTGTGAACACAAAATCGCAATTTGTCATTAGAAACATTCAAATCTGTCTGGCTAACTGACTCCATCTCGCTAACTCTCTTCATTAAACGCTACATATTCACCTCCAACGCAGCCAGGTATCTTATCCTAAATGCTACGACTGCATACAAATCATCCAAAAGGGGAAAGAAAGCCATAAAAGAGCGTTAAATTATAAAAGTGTGTGGCTAAACGCAGTGCAATAGCTCCTAGCTCGACGCAGCTCAACGGCACCAGCCGCCATTTTGGCTCAAGCTCTTATTTACAATCCCGCAGCAGAAACAAAGGAAGCACAAGAAAAACATTTTCAACAGTATAAATATATAAATGCATATTAAAGTCATATTATATATTTATTTTATATTTATAGACATTTCACTCTGTAAGGTCAGATAAAAAGTTTATTTCTAGAATCATTAAAAATATAAAAGATTATATATATTTGGGACTGACTAGCACAAGAAAAAACATTTTCAACAGAAACGTCTGGATCAAGCATCGCCCCAAAACCCCCTTCACTCCCTCCACTGCAGCTCTGAGCTCAATTTTGTCGCATTTCGCTTTTTATTCAAGTGCAATGCATAAATGTGTCATTTGTGGCATGGATGCTCGCTTACCCCGGGTTTATTTTAGAAATTCACGCATATTGCGGCATAAAAATATTTCCACTCCAGCTCTGCCTCACTGTGTTCAATGAGCAGCGTTTGATGAGCGCAGGCGGCCCCGAATGCGGCCGAGCTCTAGCCCTCCCCTCCTCCGCTGCCATATAGTGCTCCGCTGTCTGGCGCCACTGGCGCCGTGCACGAAGCCTTCCTGCCAAATAGTGCGCCGCCGACAGTTTCCCATCGGCTTTCTTCGGCCGCGTTCGGTGCGGCTGGGCGAGGATGTGTGCGCATGCGCAAGTACTGCGACAGGAGTTGGGACATGACTGTCCCCCTCAAAAACCCACTGACAATAGACAATAAAGTCTGTAATTTGATGGACTGGACGGTGCTATACTTTACATGAAAATTAGTTTATGAATTCACCAATAGCCTACGCAATCTGTTTTATATAGCATAAAGGGCCGTGTAGTTTTATTATTTTTTTACTTAAATAATAAATATAATGAAATATTCACTCAAAATAGGTAAATATGATGTATTATGAAATATTACGTATCAAGATGTTTATTAATATTTGTTATTAAGATTTACTTTTGTTGAATTTATGAAAATTTTCATAAAATCAGGTATTGTAAATTATAAGTTCAATACAGCAGGATTTCTGATTTTTGCTCTTTTTATTTTTGCCTTTTGTAAGAGATCCTAAAAAGCATGAAATAAGAATATTAAGATGACAACATCAGATAAAAAGTGTACTTGAAAAATGAAACATAATTATTAATTATATACAATTATTTATATTTTATACAGTTATTTATATTATTTATATTTTGGATTGACTGTATAAGGTTTGCATATTATATGTATAAGGTTTGCATACTATATATTTATAATGGAATACATTTTCATTAAATTGTCATATAGTAATTTTTTCTGTAATTAATATTCATTTTAATTACTTTAATATTTTTTTGTCTGTAATTAAAATGACCTGTTTTTGCAAGTTGCTTTGAATAACAGCATTTTATAAAAAGGAAAAATAAGTTTAATGGTATTACATAATAAATAAATCCTGGACTACCATTTTTTCATAAGTGATATCTGGTCAAGATTCAACTTAGTGACCTGAGGGCCTCGAGTTTCTCTCAACTGATATAAAACACAAGCTTGTGGAGAAACATGAAAATAAATGACATGGAGCTTGGTGTTAAACCTCAGTTTAGTTCATGTTCATCTTCATCTTTTCACACGCGTCACAAATCATCCTGTGTTCTGCAGGTATCTCTAGTAATGAGGTCGTCTAATGCGTTGTGACGTTCATTAACACACACACACACACACACACACACACACGCGCCGTGGGTCTCAAGAGCGATGTGGCCGGCCTTTGTTCTGCTGGAGCGAGGCTTGACATGCTATTAGTCACCAGCAGGTCAACAGAGACACACCGAGCAAGAGGGACACATTTTTCGAACGCATTAGACCAGATTGAAGAGAAGCATGCAAAGAGTACAGAGACACTGAAAGAAGATACAGAATGAAAGAGAGTGCATGCCATTTAAAGTCAAATATCTGAGACAATGTCATTTTTTTAGGAAGAGTGAATGTCATAGAAACATGTCCATGTCATATCACACCCCAAAACACAAAGTAATCAAACACAAAGGTCTGTATTTTCCATAAAGTCAATGAAACCTATTTATGCAACCCTTTTTTTAAACCTGCGTTACCATAAAACTATTTTAAAGCAGTAAAAATGTGGCATGTGTCGGTTTATATAATAGTATATTTATACAATTTATATAATAACACACACACATACACACACTGACACACTGTGGATACACTGAAAAAAATGGTTTGAAACTCAGAAATTGCTAGTTAATTTTACAAATAATTACAAAAATGGCAAGTAACTCACTGAATTAATTGTGACATTTTTTAATAGAAACACAGAGCTAGTACGTTCGTGAAACATACTCGTACTCAGTTTACTCTGGTCGGTCATTAACACACACACACACACACACACACACACACACACACACACGGTGGGACAAGCAAATAATCATCCCACAGATGAACCCATATCTCTCTCCGTAAGGGAGTGGCATCAATAATCTCACTGTTTCCCAAACAAAACTCAGGCCGTCTCCCTCTGCGGTTGCCATGGAGACAGTGTCTTCACATGCCTTTGAACAGCTGCATAATGGACAGGAGCTGCTCACTGCGTTTTTGGATATTGCACTTGGTCCTCTTTCAGCCTCTCCTGCTCCTGGAGCACGTCCTCCTGGAAGATTCACACCTAATCAATAAATAAAGAGAGGCATGTTGAAATGTTAAACAGCTGTCAGTCTCTCCACGCATAAAATGAGACGTTTGCCAGAGTTTTGAATGCGAGTTCAGTGTGAGACGATTTCATTTCATTCATTACAGTGAGAGAAAATCACGTTCAGGTACGGCTGACTCGAAATGGACTTTTAAAGGAGTATTTCATGCAAAAATGCATTTTAGCTTTTGGCTCAAAAATCAGATAAAAAGTGTATTTCTAGAAAAAAAAAAATATATTTTTAAACGTTATACATTATATTTATAAAACGGATAGTTCCGGTCCTTGATTCTGATTGGCTGAGCCAACTTCGAAGCTGTTGTAAATTACTCTACAAAGTAACATACACCTTTGTTTATGTTTGTCTGTTGCTCGGCAACCACTTTGTTGCAACCACAACTGATTCTGAGGAACTACATTGTTTGGTGGAAGAATACTGTTTTTATTAATATCATTACACTTTATTTGCTCTGTTTTATTTTGTGAAACCTTACTACGTATATGGAATAACCGTTTTATAAAAACAATAAGCCCCGTGAAGCCGTGGTTTACAGTGAATTTATAACAGCTAGCTCCGCTTCGCGTCGTACCTAACAACGGCCCTTAGCTGTTATAAATTCACTGTAAACCATGGCTTCTTGGGGCTTATTGCTTTAATATGCGCACTATGACAATTTATTTTATATACAGAGAATACAGAGTGAGAAATAACATAAAAGAGAAATATCAGAAAAATGATATAAAAAATAAAAATATAAAAAAATAATATATTATTTTATTTCAGCCAACTAACTGAAATAAGTTGAAGCTACAGCACTAAAATTACAAAAACTGAAATAAAGCTAAATAGAAATGTTAAAAAAAACAAAAATGACAGAAGCACATAACAAAATAACTAAAACTTGAACTAAAAGTAAAATGGAAACTAAAAATCTAAAAATAAAACCTCAAAATATTAATAAATAGTACACTATAATATAACACTGACATGCACTATAGTCTATTTGACATTTGACTTAACTACTAACAATAAAAGCACTGTATATATATATTTATGTATGTATATGAATTCATGTCATTTTATATGTCATTTTATTTAAAGTAATAATTCATGCAAAAAGTAAAAAAAAAAAAAAAATCAGTTACTAATTACGTACAGACAACAATCAGTGAATGCTACAGTATGATAACAGTTATTCAAAGATGAAAGCACTAAAACTATTTGCTCCAAGCTAAAAGAAGCTGGTGTCTCCATCTGACAGCAGCGGTTTGTCTGAAGTGAATGTTTGTGGTCACACACCCTCAGTTTACACAGCTCCTTCCTCTCCTGTCGTTCTCGTCCGCTCGCGCGCGCAGCCAGGCCTCGTTCTGAGTTCTGTGTCGTTTCAGCATATCCTGAAGTTCCTGTCTAGTCACAACCGCAAGCTTCTGAGAACAAGAACAAACACGTCCAAGAAACTCAGTCGCATGACATCAGTTTGACCAGCAGCACCTGTTTCCGTCTCAGCAGATGCTGGTTCTGAGCGTATCGCTCGTTTTGTAGAGCCTCTGTGTCTCGTGCAAGCGCTTCCTTTTCTCTGTTTCAGATGAGAGCAGATTCAGTTTTGCTTTATAAGATGATTTTTTTAGACAGTTAACGTGAAATAAACAACAAGGCATAATCTCTACCTGTCTAGTTTTTGGACATGGCAAAAGCTTTGTGGATCATGTTCATGAACGGCACTGAAATCTCTGGGAACGCTCACCTGGATGAAAGCGACACGAGTTTGATGCACTGGTTACAAAATCATATATTTCCTTACATATAAAGAAGTGATGCATCTAAAGAGTACACTTTCTCTCATATATTCATTCATATTTAAAGCTAAAATCTGCACTGTTCAAAGTTTGGGGTCGGTAAGAAAAGGAAAAAATGAAATCGCATCATATGACCCCTTTAAATGTTTTTGAAAGAGGTCTCTTATGCTCTCCAGGGCTTCATTTATTTGATCAAATATACAGTAAAATTCTGAAATATTATTATAATTTAAAATAAGTGTTTTCTATGTGAATATATGTTAAAATGTAATTTATTCATGTGATCAAAGCTGAATTGTCAGCATCATTACTCCAGTCTTCAGCAACATAATATCTGGATAAAATTACTTAATCAGATTCCAAAAATTAAGAAGTCATAATTAGATTAAATTACATTTTAAAATGCTTATAATCAGATTACAGTTTCTTTTTTATGGATTACATGATAATATTCACACAATGGCAGTAAATCAATCACAATTTATTGATTTTCCCTAATTTTTTTTAACATTTAAAAAAAAAAACCCTGGAGTAATGTAATGTTTTATGCATTTCATGATGTTGACATCAAAGAATGAAATATATTTTTTTAATGTTTTTTTTATATCAATGTGGTACATTTAATGGCAAGTTTAAAACAAGTAAGGTAAAAATGATCTAAAAAGTAGAAGAATAAGTAACCTAGATTACATGACTAATTACAATTGTAATCAGTAACAGATTACAATTTGTAAGTAATCTATCCAGCTCCAGTCTTCAGTGTCACATGATCTTCAGAAATCATTCTAAGATGCTGATTTGCTGCTTGAGAAACATTTCTGATTATTATCACAATGTTGAAAACAGTTTTTCTGCACAATATTTTTGTGGAAACCGTGATGCTTTTATTTTTCAGGATTCTCTGATGAATAGAACGTTCAAAAGAACAGCATTTATTTGAAACTGCAATCTTTTGTAACATTATAAATGTCTTTACTGCCACTTGTGATCAATGTATTTCGCTGTAGTGTCTGTGTTGATTGTAATGGAGGTGACGTCAATCACCTGAATGTTTGCACTCCTGTAGCTCTTCACGGTCACTGGAGACCGACTCAGCTCGTATTTCACCATGGGAATCTTTGTCGGGGCGAAGCTGATCAAGTGGAAATGATTTGAATAACATTACTTTCATGTGAAACTAGTAATGAAAACTGTGTTTTAGTCAGAGAAAGACACACCTATTACTGACACCCTGCAGTTCAAACTCTAGTAGTGACACATTTTAGTT